CTACACATAATTATTTGACATCATCTACGGTTGATACCTAATAAAGGGTCTGTAAGCATTAGCATTAAGCCTGAGAGGAATATCTGTTTGCCAAAGTAGAACTAGTAGGGCTAGACATGAGTTTGTAAATTATAATCGAATTCTCAGGCTAATGTACCGCAGCTCAAATCAATGTTTATAGTGTTGTGTACTCCAAGCTGAATGACGCAAATCTAGACTTTTGATTACCATTCTAGTCGATATTGTTACTGGTAACTTAAAAATGAACTGAACATTCGGCCTTTCCATGAACAGTGTAATTTTTAAGAAACACAGAGTGGCTATAAAAAGTGGATGAAAAATTATCATCATTATTACCAAACCTATTAGGGGACTGACAAAACGAAGACGATGGTTAGTGAGCCGACTGCCTAAAACTTTGGGTTATTGATAACGTCTTAGGATAGTCAGGTAGAAATTTCAATGGAACACTTCGGAGCACAGTTCAAACAGCCCATATCAAAGCTTCACCTACCTGATATCCAGTGCAAACCTAAATAGGACGTAGGTGTTGGTTCTCAAACTCTCCTCGAAGTTTCAAACCTACAACGATCCAAACAGAAGGATCCGATGGTATGTCATCAGACGTTTTTAAAGAAGGAAGTTGAAAAATACTTGGTAGAGTAACGGAGATACTAGGTAGTGTGTAGGAATCAGAGGTAGTCCCGTCGAAATTTTCTAGATACGAAAAGAGAGAAGCCTACAGAGGACTTAGTATAACCAACATCGTGTTCAAGATCCCTGTATCCACAGTTATTCAACGCCAGGCAGGTTTCAGACCTGGTCGTTTGTGTGTTGATCAAATCTTCACCATCCAACACCTTTTGGAACACAGCAATACTAGCCAGCACTCGATACATGTGATATTATATAAATTGAAGACGAGATTTCGCTCTTCCGACTAAGCAGTTATGACAATCTCTAACTGTGTAAGTAGTACTGCAGAGGTATGCAGTGTTAGTGAAGGGTTCGCATTCGAATTCATGTAGCTGTATAACAGCTAATGGTGAGTTATCGTCGGAAGTAACGACGACCATTAGTGTCCTCCAAAATTACTTATTGTCACCTTTGCGCTTAACTTCGCTATAGACATACTGGTAAATACAATACAACCTTAGGTACCACCAACTTAACAAGGGTCGACTTATTCCCTGGAAGAATCTGAGTGACTTAGGGTATGCAGATGACATTGACCTGGTAGGCGAAGAGGCTGACAAAATGCAGGGTCTTCATCAACTGTTGAGCAGAAATCTGATTAGGTTTGACACGGGTATGGCACCCGTCAAATGTAATTTGGTACTTTTGTAATGGTCTGCAGCTACTCCCAGTATAAGGGTATGAAGTGAAGGTGGTAACTTCATTCAGGAATTGCATAAACCCAAATAGGTAGGTTGCAGATGAAATCTCAACACGAATACTAGAGGGTCATCTGGCATCTGCCAATCAGGTCATCTCTACCACCAGCGAATTACTGCACTATCATTTAAAGGATGAGTATACTGCACTGCAGCCTACTGTGTGACCAATGTTGAAATCGGGTGAACAGTACTAGGCAAGATAGGTAAGTTCGTCAATGAGGTTGAGAACTTCCACCAACTGAGGTAGCATGGACATATGTTAATCATGTTGAGTCACTGCCCCCTGCCCCCCCCCTCCAAACACATTGTTACTTGAAGTAGGATTGTGTTGGGAGAGGGCTCATGATGTTCACACCAAGACGTGATATCAGTCCCTGAAGTATATGGTCGTTGATCTAAGTCATGTAGGGAGGTGAAAACTGGCTGGTTGGGTTCCTCGAGATGATAGAAACCAACGATTGGAGACCCTCAGTGACATGGGTAGAAATTGGTCTCGATGGCACAGATGCGTTCACTCGTGGATGTTTTCTGTAATTTGAACACTCTTACTAACCTTCATTTTCAAATTCCTTCCCCTTCCACACACCTATGTCATCACTTTCTTCACCTACTTGTTCTTTTTTGCATGCTGCTGTGAAATGTGGTACACTGAATCAATGTACTTCTGTGCAAGTTTCTACGTTGGTTTCATCTGCCTATTCCTTGAAGTCTCGGGAGTTAATCATTTTTTTAGTAATGGCTAATTTCAGTGATCATGTTACAGGCCATTTCAATAAAACCAGTAATAAAATATATCAGTATTCATCATGTACTGACATCAGCTGGAGTGACATTGGAAACCTGGGAGCACTGGACAACTGTTTCGTGAGGACAAATACTCAAAGATGACATTAGGCGACAGTCGCATTATATTGTGAACTGACAGAAGTTAGAAATGTAGACGATTGGATTCCGACCCAGTGGCTCAATGGTAACGTTCTGGTCACGGAGCCTGAAGGTCCTGGGTCTGATCGCTAACGGGGTCGTGGATGCGTACTGCTGATGAGTCCCATACTACGACGGAACAGCCATTCAGTGCACGCAGGTTTCCAATGTTTCTGCAACTGATGTCAGTCTATGATGAATACCAACTTGAAATCGATAAATCCCCACAATCCACCAAACTGAATATGTTTTTGCAAAGATATGTATCGTTTAGGTGAAGCATATGAAAAATTCGAAAGATATCATTTTTCTTAAGGAATTACACGGTAACGAAATCTGAACTTTGATCAAAGGATAAAAATTCCAAGTTAACTAGAAACTTCAGGTAAGTTTTGTGGAATGTTAATCATTGGACTCATGAGTTTTAGCAACAAGTTACTCCGAAAAAGTGTCAGTTTAAAAGTTGGTTCTATTCTTCGTACGTACAGGTATGGCTCAAGTATTTCACTTCTAAGCTATAATTTCAAACTTCTCATCAGCTATCTCTACACAGACAACTGGGTAGCAGCAAAATCCTCACAGATTGACTTTGGCTCAACTTAAACTCGTACCAGGTTGCTGAATACCATTGCTGTGATAAATCCATAAAATATGATTAATAATGATACGGGAATGGCAGCATTTGTAACAAGGTGCGATGTTGTAAGGAAAACTGTTTTCGGGTGAGATCACGCTGTGATACAGGATTGTTTAACATGAAAAACCTGGCAAGGATTTTCTCTGTCTCTATGATACGACTTGTACATTTCTGTGTACTAGGCCACAAGACGTAACCTTTCAATCATGGACTTTGTTATTAGCCGAGAAAGTGAAGTGGACTGAAAATGATTAGTGGGTAGTTAGTAACTAAATGAGTTAATTAAGTGCAATGATATTCTCCTTTCTGCAGTTTGCTATCCATATCAGTGGTTGGTAAGACGCAGCAAAGTAAAGAACCGTTTGGTTTGGATTGTAAAGCCAGAATTACAATGCCTTGTACTCTCGTTCCCACATGCTTATTTTCTTTATCCATTAACACCCAGATTCGACCACTTTCTCTCCAAAATAACATCCTTTGCTTCAAGAACCTGATAAATATTATTTTCAAACTACTTTCTGGGTCACAATGAATGGTAAGTCGTGTTTGTCAGTATTACTTGAATCAGATCGGTTGAAGTATATTAAGTAATCAGTAGGCTATATGACCTGACATCAAAGTCATATGGATTGAGGTATGCGATGAAATCGTGTGCATTTATGTCATCGAATTTTTGGTAGTGCTTGGGTCAAGTCACTCCACTAAACAATCATTTACAACAATTTTAAGTTTGTAGAACATTTGTGTGTAACATCTTTGCATATTGTTTATGAACAAGTTGTCATAGATAAAAGGAGTAACTTTAAAGGCAATCCTAACATCTGTTGAGATAGTCAATTCCATTTCTGTATTTTATGAAAAACTAACTGCCCTGCCGACACCTGGTTGGTTATTTCAGCAGTCGTTAAGGTGACCATTAAGGTCACTCAATAAAAGTAATGCAGTAGAGAAAAATGTATATGATGACTAATGTGTATGTTTACGTGGCTACATTGTAAACTTCATCAACAGACTTCCAGCAATACTCATGAAATGACAAGTATTACACGGCGACGAACTGGTATAACCAGTAAGAATTACATTTGTCGATCAGCCCTTTTAGCAATAAGGTTACTACTTGGGTGACATAACATAGGTTTGCAACTTCGACCATTTTAAAGCGAAATTCTACTTTTCTTCAGTATTGATCTTAAGTATCTGTTCCATTTTATGCCAGAAATGTGTTTAGAACTCCACTGGTTAATCAGTGAAATTCTGATGCCCAATTCACGCCATCACTGCTTCAATGTATCTTGAAATTACTCCGATTGTCTATCAAGGGTAGTGTGTACTATACAACAGTCCGCTCGGTTCTACTGTATGACTATGAAACATGGCCATTGAAAGTGGAAGATATGAGAAGGCTTCAAGAGTTTGACCACCGTTGCCTTCGTAGTATAGGCCGCCATATTCCATGGTATCACCACGTGAGTAATGCAGAAGTCAGGTATAGAGTTTTAGGGAGTAGAGGTAAATCAGTTGACGAGGTTATGAACCTTCATCGACTGAGATGGTTGGGACACGTACTACGTATGCCTAGTCACCGATTGCCTCGTCACACAATGTTGGCTGAGGTGGGTCCAGGCTGGAAAAAGGCCCACCGAGGTGGCCAGACTGAAACATGCCACCAATGTATGAAGTCCGACTGTTGGTTTGAGCCATATGGGGCGATACAGACTAAGTGGTTGGGGTCCGCGAGACAAGAGGAACCAGTGGTTGGAGACTCTAGGTGATATGACTCAGAACCGATGTCAGTGGCGCAGATGTATACACACATTATCCTCATCTTAACGACGCCATAACGAATCTCACCATTTTGTCATTTTTCCTTTCTTTCCTCTCGTAGTTTATATTTCTTTTGACTGCATTCTCTTATCTTCATCCTTCATCTCACTACCTTTCTACTTGATGTACTGTACTGAGCCGCAGCAACTCAGACCGTTACGCAGTAGTGCCTGGTCCTATGTTGATTCGGATAGATGGATGATTTTGAAATTACAATATTTTCAAACAAACAAGCTCTGCCTTCAATTATATTTCTTATATCGGTTTGACAAACTGACTTTAATGCACCGTCAATTCGGAACAAAACCGAAGTAAGTGAAATGAGCACATTAGACAATTAAATTAAGACTCCACCATTTGAATTACTCTGAACCCTTGAAATCACTAAGAAACTCGTCATATAAGCAGTATAGAAAAGAGTAAATAAGTCATATTAAATACTGGTGTACATGTGATAAAAAGGTGCTTTTCATGAACTCATAACAACAATAATAATTATAGAAAAAGCAAAAACATAAGTTAAAACTCAAAATAAATTAAAGCATCATAGTTATGAATGATAATGATAATATCGTAAATGTGAAAAGTGAATAAATGTGTGTAGGTCAATAAAAAGGATGGAGAATGAGGTAATAATGGCGCTAGAATATTTGTGAAGCAAAAGTAAAACGTATCAATAAAGTTACTTTTCAATTATTTGTCCTATAAAATATCAGAGTATAATGATGTACGATTACAATGAATAGGTGACTCAGTGTAACCGAATGCATTCATATCGTGAATTAATTACAATGAAACGACAGTAGAACACAATATAAAATCAACAACACATATCATATCAACGATTCATTTTAAAAAAAAGGAAAATACCTAGGAGTATAATATAATATTATTTGATTTTCAATGCTCCATGTTGAACGTTACTTCATGATATTGGTCATGAGAAGAAGACTAAAGGAAAAACGTCCGCAGCATATATATAAGTAATGCAGCGACGAATAAAAGTTATATTCCACAGGAAAAAGTAACCCAGAATGGAATATTTCACTGAAAGTCGAAAAATAAAAAATATACAAGCGCATTTAAAACAAACAAATATTAGGATACCATTTTTTTTCAACTTATTGTGATAAACCCACAGGTTGATTAGTGACTATGGATGTATAACAGCAAGGTAGGAGAATGAGAATAAAGCAAGTATTATTCCAACAGAAGTGGTATGCTTTTCTTCGAACTTAAAGGTTTAGAGGCACCAATTTGGTAGTCGAAAAAAAACTAGGAATTAACATTCATTAATTTAAGCCGCCAAAGAACGTTACATTACGGCAGCACCTCCTAACCAGTCAGAATCCGTTTCCTCTAAGACCATCATGTCAGGACTAAGATAACCAGCACTGACATTTTGCGAAGGTAATGCAGGTGAGGAATTCGTAGTGCCATGTGATTGCTCCAAACGAGATGACCTTAAAAGTCCTTGGCTATCTTGATGAAGTAGCTTGTATTCCGACGGCGAAGGGTTCATAAACACGTCACCACTAGGACTTAGATACCCACTTGTATTAACACTTCCAGCGCATGATCTACGTGGTATCACAGAGATCCCTGTTTGTAAAGTAGAATTATTTCCTTGTGGTGGATTTGTATTGTCAAAACTCTGAACAGATGGAGACAGAAACGTTGGCCCCATAGCATAAGCAGTAGCACCAGAACTCATGAACCCAATACGACTTGGTGGACGGATATTGTGAAACACTTTCACTGGTTGCAGCTCTGAGTAGGTTCCAGAGGGCTGATTATTATTACTACTATTATTGTTTGCATTATAAATGCAGTTTGGATCAGAACATGTCGCAGCAGGACCACAATCGTTCCAATAAGAGCAGCAGTCATTGCATATGGAACCTGAAATAAAAATACACCAACAACTGTAATGAACTAATAAAAAACACGGTTGAACCTAAATGAAGCAAGCTGTAGACTGAAAAACAACTGACTTACTCAAAAATCTACTAATTGCACATCGGTTCTCATGAATACCAATCAGAAAAAAATTAGGAAGCTGAGTGAGTAATTCAACTTTTATGATGTGCAAAAAACCTCAATCAGTGTAGAAATACTATTGTGAGAATGACTGTCAACCATCTAGAAGGATAGCAGCAATATTTAACTACACTAACCCATTTATCTCCTTGTGTGAAGCCGTGGCTCAGTGATTTAGAAAGATGACTACCAACCATTGGGCCATAGGTTCGAGCCCCGACCCACCTACCGAGGTTCAGGCAGCCAAGTAGTATCACTTGCCCTCATAAAATAGATGTGGGTATTGAGTTCAAACCTCAGTAGGAACAAGATCATTGGCTGGAGTGCAGGTACATCCATCTGACGAGTCCCAAACAGGACGAAACGCGCACCCCGGATTCTACTGGGAGTCACCAAGATGAATAAAACAATGGTGCACTTTGCCGCATAGTGAGTGAATCTGCACATAATTGTTTAGTTACATAAAGTCCTACTTATTTTTATTTTTGTCTATAAAAAAGCAACCCAACATAGCGACAAAAGCAAGTTAGAGGCTTTTCACATTTTCATTTAACAAAATTTTGATGTGCATTACTGTCCATTCAGAGGCAGACAAAAAAACTATTGATACCGATAATGTCTGTTGTAAATTCATCAGTCTAACTTTTTCCAGATATAGGCAAGAACCGATGAATAGCTTATGATAAAGACAAATTACTCTGCAGGCACAGAATGCTAGACAATGCATAACCGCAGAGGTCTATAAATTCAATCCAATGAGATCAGCATAAAATAGAAAGTTTAAATATGAACTGATGCTAACTGCAGAAGAGGTGGTTCTTACTACTTTTCAAGCTAGCGAGTAACACTTGCAACCTCCAAGTACATTGAGGAACGAGCAGATGACGTTCAAATGCAGACTGACAAAGAACACCAAGCAAAATTAACGTAGAAACCCGCATAGAAGTACATTGATTCAGTGTACCACATTTCACAGCAGCATGCAAAAAAGAACAAGTAGGTGGAGAAAGTGATGACATAGGTGTGTGGAAGGGGAAGGAATTTGAAAATGAAGGTTAGTAAGAGTGTTCAAATTACAGAAAACATCCACGAGTGAACGCATCTGTGCCATCGAGACCAATTTCTACCCATGTCACTGAGGGTCTCCAACCGTTGGTTCCTATCATCTCGAGGAACCCAACCAGCCAGTTTTCACCTCCCTACATGACTCAGATCAACGACCATCTACTTCAGGGACTGATATCACGTCTTGGTGTGAACATCATGAGCCCTCTCCCAACACAATCCTACTTCAAGTAACAATGTGTTTGGAGGGGGGGGGGGCAGGGGGTCAGTGACTCAACATGATTAACATATGTCCATGCTACCTCAGTTGGTGGAAGTTCTCAACCCCATCGACTAACTTGTCTGTTTACATACCTAATGATCGTGAGTATTAACAGATAAGGAAGGCTTAAGGGATAAAAGAAGGCAGTGGCGTTAGGCAACAGTAGACAATGCCTAGCTGGAACAGTTAACATGATATTTTATGCAGATCGGCTGTGTATATCATTCAGCAGTCGGCCAATGGTCAATCCGACACTGAAAGATAGCCTACCTAATCGTAGATCTTCATCTTACATATATCAATTCAACTGTCACTCTGGAACTAGTCACATAGGGCCTACGACTGATTAGACAGGTGCCTCTCCGGATACAAGAGTATTTACCACCTTGCTTCCGAAAGGGTCAAGGTCAAGTGCAGAAAGTTCACTTCTACAACACCTAGTGGACACACGGCATCACTTAGATATCAATAAAACTTTCAATGTCACTCATCGTATTCCAAAAACAATACCACATGTAGCTAGCTCGCCAACGCCTGCTCAACATAGCGGAAACTGTCGCAATAAGATTCATCAAGCCTGAACTCTAAATTCAGAAAGAACATGTCCAAGCATTACTTCTACCTTGGCCTTCAGTAAACTAAAGGCCATTCCTACCTTTTTATTCCTTGTCATTTTCTTCCCTATCATAGCATCCGTCTGTTTATGTATCATCCCAATATTGAGAAATTAAAAAGGGAAAACCGAGTTCCTCACAATCCCCAGTTCTCAGTCCATTTTGAGAATGTATCCACCCCTAACATGGCTTGATTTTACGCTGTACAAGTGCGTTTTATAATTGTAGAACCTGAGGAGAATTTATGGGAAAGAATGTTCTTCGTTCAGATTGCTGCTCTTCATCAATATTATGAGAATCTTTAGTTGTTAGAAATCTTTAAATGGAATTACATACCACGTAGGTCTTCTGGATAGTGGTAAGACGAAAAAGAGTTACTGTTATGTAATTTAATACACTGTGATAGGGGTCTGAAAGCGGAGTTGTACTGGTAGCTTGACAGGGGTGTGACAGCAGTCAGGTGTTTCCGACGGATGATCAGCAGTTCCTTGCCTATGCTGCGTTCCCGGGGGATTACAAAAGGTCGACTCTAAAAACACCACACTCCCCTCTACGTCAAGGCATACTGGTGCCGGACATATGGATTCATAACCAGACTCAAAAAAACAAAAAAAACACCTCAAACCTTTAGAAAGGACGTATGTAACCGGCCTAAGTTAAATGTTCCATGAGCCCAACGACAGGCTGATGGAACGTTGGGCAGAACACTATGAAGCACAGTTCAATTGACCCTCAGAAACGCTTCAATTGCCCACCAACCAGCTCTAACCGGAATGGGATGCAGATATCAGTCCTTTAAATCTCCGTGAACTTGAGACGGCTGTTCCAAACCTGAAACGATGCAAAGTAGCAGGACCTGACAGTTTGCCACCTGAAGTTTTCAAGGATGGAGATTAGAAACTGCTCATTACAGTGACAAAAACACTGGGCAGCGTAAGGGAATCAGAAGCAGTGCCGTCAAACTGGTCTAATTCTCCGATCATCCCAGTCTATAAGAAGAGGGAGAAATCTCCTTACAACAACCATTAAGGAATTCGTTTGATTAATATTGTATCAAAGATCCTAAGGTCCATAGTTAGCCAACGCATAGCTGCAACTCCAAAAAAGCAAACTCAACAAAAAAACAGGCAGCTTTTAGAAATGCACGAAGGTGCACCAAACATACTCTCACCCTCCGATAGGTTCTAGAACACAGGCATACATACAGGCAACCGACACTTACCATATTTATTCACCTGAAGATCACATTTGATTATGTCGACCGTGAGCTTTTCGTGACAGTGTCTGACTGTGAAAGGAGTACCCAGCAACTACATAACGACAATCAAAACTCTCTACTCAAACTCACACATCTCATGTAAAGGCTCACACAGAGTTTTCATGTGAATTGACGACAACTAGTAGTGTTTACAAGCGATCTCCACTGTCACATTCTCTATTCAGCCTTGTTATTGACGTACTAATACACATTACCTTATGTACGTCTGACTTCACATAGATTGATCTCCTCCCTAGAAGTCATATGGTTCACTTGGAGCATGCAGATGATAACATCCTCCTGCGTGAAGACGATGACAAAATCTAGGGTTGTCTGGATGCATTGAGCAGAAATCCGTGTATACTTGGTATGTGTTTCACACCTGTCAAATGCAAGATGATGCTCCAGGACTGATCTGCTGCAAATACTCTCAGTTTAGTGATGGGGAGTGAACTGGTGGAATGTGTCAATCTATTCACTTACCTGGGGAGTTACATCACCCCGCCGAACAGGCTGGCTGTGGACAAAACCTCAGCTCGGATACACAAGGCCCGTTTGACATTGACATTTGCTAACTTGCATCACCTCTGGTGCCGGTGAGATATCTGACCATCTATCAAAGGAAGAGTATACTGCATTGCAGTCTGTTTTGTCCTGTTATATGCCTGTCAGACATGGCCGTTAGAAGTAGAAGGTATGAAGTGATTACAAGTGTTTGATCATACGTACCCTCGTAGCATTGTTCGGGTTTGGTGTAATCACTATGTGAGCAATGTTGAAGTCAGATGAAGGGTACTAGGCGAGGCAGGCAAGTCGATTGGTGAGGTTGTGAACCTTAGTCGACTGAGGTGGCTTGGACGTGTACTGCGCATGCCAAGTCACTGCCTACCTTGATGTCCTATGCTAAAGGAAATCAGATTAGGTTGGCACCAGTTGATGAAATCTCTCACTGTTGGTACAAGTCATGCGGGGATATGCAGACTGCCTGTTTGGGGTCCCTGAGATGAAAGGAATCAGTGGTTGAGGACTCTTGATGAAATGGCTGAAAATCGGTCACAGTGGCACATATGTATTCACAAGCTTGGATGTTTGTAAAAACCTTTACTTTTAGTTTGTTTATTCTGTCACACAACTTCATCTTCTTTGACATTACTCTTTCACTAGCCACCTGCTCTGTGTTTACTGCCGTGAAGTGTGTTAACTTGAGTCGACCCATGTGTGTGCGAGGTTCTACATTGATTTTGTCAGTCAGGGTCGTTTGCCACGTGCCGATTCCCGTCATCAGCGAGATATATGAATACATATCGAAAAGTTCCTATACTACACTGCAGTGCACTCTGTTTTGTTTCGCGGTAGAGACATCGCCGTTCGGAATAGATATAAAGACATAACAGGCTTGTGACCACAACTGTATTTGTAGTATTGCTCGCGTACGGCGGAAGTATGGTGTCAGTAATGTCGAGATTTTATGTAAACATAATCCGGTTTAAGATTATAGTTAAGTGAGAAAAGTATTTAAAATCATGTGGAGAACAACTTACCCTTACAACCGGATGGGAGCGGACCAAGCATGGCCATCAACGAGTTCTGAGGGCTCCCATAAGTGTTTCCCGGTTCTTGAGGGTGACTTTGTATCGAGGGATGGTTCCAACTTCCATGAGAAGGAAATGAAGGTACGCTAGGATGGGAAGTATTTCCTGGATGAACAGATTGGGCAGGAGGAACGTGGTAAACTTCTCCTGTATCCATAGGTAAAGGTGGTGTGTTAAGTGATTCAATATGAGATGGGAAGATATACGGATTGCTGCCTACACCCCTACGTTCCTCCGCAAGTCGAATGACCACTGCAGATGCGTAAGTTGAGATGGCTTCATTCCTAGAGCGAACCAACTCATCAAACCTTGGACCTGCACCAGGTAAAGTAGCCAGTGCCTCAAGGCCATCACGATCCTGTGAAACCTCGGCGAGGACCCCAGCCGCAGCACGTTGAATGGATTCGTGAGGTGAGTGGAGAAGTTCGACAAAGATAGAGAGACCAGAGGAACCAGGTTCAATACTGGGTGTTATACTCAAAGCTGGAGCCTATAAATCAATGAATGCAATAAGGTATTAACTGAACGACTGAAAAAATCAAGGTGCAAATTTTGTAGCTCACTATAACTTTACTATTTGTAAATAATCAGTCACTTCTTGAAGTTTCACACTTCAGAAACTGGTAATCGCAATGAAAATTGACAACCTGATATGCCTTTGTGATACAAAGCCATAAATGAAATCTAATTTATAAGAATTTACGATATTATCTCTATTCGCTTGCATAAGTCAACGGAGCACAGTTCATTCCTGTAATAAAGCTGTTAGTAGTCAATAGTTTAAGCCAATAAACTACAGTTCCAACCATTGACAATAAAGGACTAATCCAGAAAAACGTATTTGCCTTATGATGAAAATTTATCTTGATATCAACACTGACACTGATCTACAATTTACGAGTGCCATCACTACTATACAGCAAAGACACTACAAAACGTTAGATAATCATGAATAATATGTATAAAACCAGTGGCAATATCAATTTAAGGAAACTGGTAAGAGTGAAACGACTAAAACTTCGTTATCAGAGTTGAAAACACTAGCAAATGATGAAGGTCAATGCCACCAAGTTTCACTGACCATTCCATTTGAAGCTTCAATTTGGTACAAAATAGAAACGTAAATGCACCAGAAAAAATAATATATTAGCAACATATAAATACTAGGTAAAAGTTTGCCACGCCTCAAGTCAGCATATCGAGGTAGAATGGATCACAACTAAACATCGATAAATAAGTAGTTAACAGTGATAGGAAAACAAAATAACAAGGAACAAAACAATTATCAAATTTGTTAAGACGATTAAGATGAAGATAATGTGTAGATGCATTTGCACAACTGAGATCGATTCTGAAAACTAGTTAGAAAACGAGGGTAGGACTCTATTAGGTCGTTGATTTCATTATTGGAAGATTGATTTAAAAATTTGTTAAAGACCTTTGCATTATCCGAACACACCAGTGGACCTCGAAATTACACTACCCCCCCCCCTAATGCATGCGAGTAACTTTACGGAAATAACGAAAATCGACCACAGAAACTCGCTAGAGTAAGAATAGAATTTAGGAACTGTGGTAGATTATAATTTCATTATAGTTCCTGTTTTATTTTTCATTGTGAGACATATACGAAAACAAATATAGTGGAATTCGTTTTGATCACAATGACAGGCACCAAATAATCCACTTTCACTAAGTTCAGATTCAGGTTTACCATATTTGGCAGCAGACTTGTCATAGTGCATCAGTTATTATGGTGAATGATAATGTTAGAATAAATAATTGGGTTTTATGTGCGTCATAGTAACAACAATGTAGCGAAATCTTAACGTGTCAACGATGCATACTAAATCCCTTAATCTGGAAAATAGGACTTCACAGAAACAGTTGCTTATATATTGCAGGTGGAACACATGAATGAGATCTACCACGTAAATAAAAGTTGTACACATAAAAGCCGTAAAAATATGAAATTGAGGATTATCTAAAACCAACCGCGTAGTGAACATAAGCTTCAAAACCAAGCGCAAAACTAGTTATTGATAGTGAGACGATAAAACATCATTCCCATTATCTTAATGCTGACGATAAGTAAAATAATGAATACAATGTTAGTGCTTTTCACTTGCTCTAAGTAGAAATATTCAAGAAAGAGTTTATAACCTAAAAGAAATGAATGCAGACCAGTAGAAATCTAAGTGGACTCCGGTGGAACGATGGTTACGAAATTTGGTACATATAAAAGAAACCTAGTCAGTTCAACGAAATGTTTCAAAACGTACACTGCTTTAACGAAGCAGACAATAACAGAGGAAATCAACAGAAGCAGAAAGATATCAAAAGAAGTGACAGGTAAAGATAAAATTCTTAAGATGATGAACAGTGGATACGTTTACATCATTGTAACCGATTATGAGACATAAAATCAGCTTGGGAGAAAAATATCCTCAGAAAAGCCGGATTGTGTGGGAAAATTATATATATATATATATATATATATATATATATATATATATATATATATATATATATATATATATATATATATACTGGAGTACACTATTTTTACAGATACGGTTAAGAATTACTTATGAGATCTCGTACAAATATTTACGTTATTTTAATTGCTATCAACGTGGTAACAATCCCCAGGTCCAGCAGAAACAACAATATATAAGATACAGTTAACGTATGCAAAGGTGAAGACTAGTTATCGCAAATTTTTATGATTTATGAAGAGGAACTTTGTAGTTCATACCGGAAAAAAGTGTACGTGTTACTATAAGCTGATGACAGCGTCGAACCATAAACAGAAAATAAATTATGCAGAATGAAATTGAGTAGTTCGTGCCAGTAGGAGATAAATCATACTTGTTTCAGTGATCGGAACAACTATTTCCAAGCTAAGATATACATACATATGTCAGTCTAACCCAATTACTTGCAGTTTTGTGTAGTGGGAAATGAGGCACACATTATATAAAGACTACTGATATTCCTTAACTGCTTACGACTCATTAGGTGATTAGACGACACTGATCCGAAATGCAACGGGTTACATTTCCTCATTTCAGTCTATTTGTAACCATTATCTAGTATCATCAGTGGGCATCCATCTTCAAATTAGACTTCGACAACCTCATTCGCCAAGGTTTTCTGCCGGAACGTGAGATTTTCCTCAATTCATATTGTAAACTCGCTTAAACAATCAAAATGCAATTGTAAACCAACCTTTAGGAGCGATAAATATGAACGAGTAGCATGATCCTTTGCTAGCATATGAAGTGCACCGCAAATTCCCTCCACGATTTCTTCCAGTCTCACGCTTTGAACTAACGTCGAAAAGGTTGGGTGGGATGGAGGAGTAACAGGAACAGAACGCTAGGAAATAAATGAAAGTTGTCAGACTTATGGTTTCAGGTAAACAGCGGTTATTCCACATTAGACTTTTTTTATTTGAATTATAAAGCAGTGACATGGTATTATTTACTTGATGACGTTTCGAGCATAAATTATTGTTTATAATCAGATCAATGTAATCACACTACTTTCGACATTGATATGATTATGAGTAATAATTTATGCTCGAAACATCATCAAGTAAATAATACTGTATCAGTGTGTTATAAATCAAATAAACAAATCCAACATGGAATTAAATTCCACCACACTGCCTAAGTTTTACATCTATATTAAACAGTGATTATCCCATGTTGATAGAGCTACTAATTTGATAACTTTATAAAATAGGCTGTTTGAAAACCCAGGTAGATACTTGGAGTGATTGTGAACCATGACATCATGGATGGTCCTTATATATATAACAAACGGATACATTTTTACATAAACCATATCGATATATAATACCCCCATATATGCAATTAAAGTTCTTAGTGCTATGGTTTGATCTTTCACTCAGTACCGCGCAATCTAAATATTTTTAAACTACTGAGTATTTTTTTACTGACTGATGCCTTTAAAGCCAGTAAAACACCTAAGACTCATGACCAAACATTTTTGATGTTGTACTACCTGCTTTAAATGGTAATCTGACACTCAAAATGGTACTCTAGTGTACATAAGTGAATGATGGTAGTAGTAGCAGCAATAATCAAAATAAGCTGCAGCATACGTTAATGTACTTGTCTACAGGCTACACCTATGACTGTTCTGACTCACTTGCCTGGAACTTGATTCAATTTTAAGGAACAGATCTGAAAGATAGTTCACTTTCAGTGTTAGGTTTAATTACTAAGTAATCATAAATTGTGCTCGAAGTAATGACAGTACTAATTATTTTGCTTCACTTCATTTTAGCCCGAAGTTCACCCCGCCATTCAGTTAAGAAGAATCACAATGCAAGAAAGCCCAAGACATGACAGAAAGAGACAGAGGTTCATGAAATTCTGAACTGTGGAATACAGCCATTTGATAAGAGGAAAACAAAACGCAGTTGCAGCGAAGAAAAACCTCGATAGAAAGAAACATTTTCCTTCCCTTCAACTGTGTTTAATCTTTACTTATGATCAGATTTTGAAATGTTGGCTGAACCATGTAGAGAAGTGCAGACTGTCTGGCTGAGGCTATCGAGACGACAGGAACTAATGGTTGGTGATATGGCTTAAAAATAGTGAAAATGGCTCAGATGTATGCACTTTTTGTTATCTCTGAGGTTTTGAACAATTTCCATTGTTTTTCAACTATTTTTTTCCTTCCCTACATGCAATCGGCAACTTTCAAGTCACTTATTTTCACCTTACTTCTCCTTTGCATGCTGATGTGCAGTGTAGTAGTTTCTACTGACGCATTTCTCTCCCGTTGTACACGGATTTGTCTGGTATGATCTCAATAAGTATACCGGGAATTGGAGTCACCAAGCCATAAAACCAGTAACACTACTCCCCCCTCTCCATTAATGTGTCGCAATCAGATACGTTATAAAATCCAACCTAAAAAGTCAAAAGTACTCAGTGGCCTAATTAGTAGTCATGAGCTTATCTGAATAGAAGTGTTAGCCACAGAGTAGTGAGAACCACTTTTACTGAGTAGAAACTAATGAAAAGTGGTATGTCAGGCATCGCGAGTAAGCATTAAGGATGCTAGTTAGTGAACACAAAAAGGCAATCACGGCATGCTAGACCGAGAAATGCACTAGATACAAAAAACAGAAATCACGAAATCCCTTAAGAGTTGGCAGCTATTTAATGCTATTTTGACCCCTACTGTAGGTTTTTAAATTGCAGTGAGTGTTTACCCATTTTTGAATTGAATACTCACTTATAAATGGCAAAAGTATTGTAATTATTAGAGGCAGAATCACAAAACTCACCTTTATTATCTCATGTTGTGTGGCATAAAGCAGTAAAAACAAACCCGTAACAAGTCCGCATTCCCGCATTCCAAAATGACTATCTAAATTAACGGACAAATTTCGCAGTAAGCCAACCATCGCTTTCACAAGCATCCATGAAACCACTGGGTTCTGAGGATGTTGACAGACTAAACCAAGATCAGGACAAATACCAGCCGTCGCTGCATGTAAAATGCGGGCAATAACTGGCAAACCGTTTAACTCGTGAACAATAGCATGTCTGGCTGTCTCTTCTTCTTCGTGACGGCTTGTTAAGTGCCTCAAAGCGCACATACATGGCTCGAGAATATCCTCTTTAGCAACAGGTTGACTAACAGCGCGCAAAAGCCCTTCTACACCACCCATCTGGAAATAAAGTTAGGTATGATGTGACTTATTACCTTAAAGACAACAAATTTATTTGCGTGATTATTGCACGTGAGGTTGGAGAGTATCCCGGCTGCGCATGTGATCATGCTACTATCCCCACAATCCAATAGACGTACCAGCGAGTGCAACAAAGGCTGAAGATTATCCATTTTAGTGGCTGCGTCGGATAAATTACGAAGCGCCCAGAGACAGTTTAGTACCAGTCGATGACTAGAACTGTGTAGATGCTTTGCCAGGGCATCCATTCCTCCTGCAACAATTATAGCTGGCTTGTTAGAAGCACATACACTCAAGACTTTTAACACTCGAGCAGTAGTCCAAAGTAATTTTTCATACTGGTAAGTCCGTAAAATGCGAACCAGCTCCGCAGGTCCCCCACTGCAAAGAATTTGCAGTTTGCTTTCTTGATGACCATAAGCTAATATCTGTAAACAGTCTGTACATATTGTGAGGAATTTTATGTTATTCTTGCGCAACAAAGTAGTCATTTTCTGCAAACAGCCACTTTGCCTTACAACTGCCTTAGCTCCGTCTTGATGAAGTAAGAGGTTGTGCAATGTAGTTATTGCATAAAACAAGACTGATTCCACTGGTGAATTCAGGAGTTTAACAAGACAGGGGATACATTGTGCAGCAAATATTGCCTAAAGTGTTAGTCAGAGTAATCAAAAGTTACCTTCAGTCCCGGTTGCATCTGAGAAATATTGTACAGTGTACCAGCAAGGAAGCGAACTGTTTCTGGATCTTCTGTTCGATCTAGAGCAGATATAATGCAGTCAATCATGTCCCTTGATTTTATAAGAGCATCGATAGCTTCTGATTTGCTCAGTTGAAAAACCATCATTGATGACTGATAAATAATGACTTGATCATCCTCATCTTTGATCAGTTTAACAAGTTCTGGGATAGCACCAGCAGCTTCATCTGTATCGATTTCTGGCAGTTTGTTTCCTCGTAAATCGACATTACTAGCCGAATGAGAACCACCAACATCACTTAAGGAGTCAACGCCCAAAATGCTACTGGTACTAGGTGTAGCCGGAGAAAGCAAGCAGGAGTCCGATGGGTTTACAGACAAAGGGAACGTTGACGACCAATGAGGTAAATGACCAGGCTTCTGACCAAAGTATCGATCATCTGCCTCAGTATCATCGACCCCCATTTTGCTGCTGATACTTGGTGTATGTGTTCCAACAGCACTATGAATACCAGAATCGGAAAGGTAGTTAGTTTGTTGCCACATTTTAACCCTCTGACATTTATCTACCATTTGGGTAGAAACACCATCTGCATCTATTACCTGACGCATAGGTAACCCCTGATTGTCTACTAAATTGCAAGACTGTATATCTTGTAATGATTGAGTATTAACAGAATCCATATTCCATACGTGAACACGTAACGAAAAGCCCCGAAAATGGAACACGAAAATGTGCCGATATGCTTCAAAAAGGGCGCTCCTAGATAGATCAAACTTTCAGATGATTGTTGACGGAGTAGAATAACTTCAAACTTCGTGGTGTAGAATTAGTGAAGGGCGGTTCTCTAGGTTCTACGACTGTCTTTTCGGAATACGTTCTGAGTTTGGGATGGTCACAATTATCTTCCCCGTTCTGAAGGACTTGAAAGGATAGAGACACGATTATTAATTAATCTGCTCTTAAGGTAGTATTACTGTATCTGATATGGGGAAAGCTTCACGAGTATAGCCCATCGGTACCGTAGGACTCGAGGTGTGCGTCTAGCCTTCTTTTAAAGGTATCAGGGGGTAGGGCTGTAACAACTGCTGAAGGGAGGGAATTCCACAGTTTACAGACTCTAACTGCAAATGAGTTAGCACGGATCTTTGTACGTGCTCTCTCATGCTCTATTCTTAACGGATGACCCCTCAAGTAGCGTTTCCGACTAAAGATTAGAAGGGTTCTGTCTGGATGGAGGGGATTATGGGCGATGTGGCATATCATGATCATATCCCCACTGATCCTCCTGAATTGTACTGGGTGCAGCTAAGGAGCAGCTAAGCTGTCTGGGTATGGTTTGTGCCATTACCTAGTCACTTTCTTCGTAGCTCTTCTCTGTACCCGTTCTAGGACGGCAGTGTCCCTTTTCAAGTATGGGGGCATTACAAGCGACTTTTTTTCTAAATGAGGACGAATGTACAGAGCATATACTGTGGTGAAAAGGGAAGGAGTTAGACACCCTAAGGTTCGAGAGAGAAACCCCAGGATTCCATAAACCCTACTGGCTGCAAGGTAACAGTGAACAGAGGCTCCTAGTGTATGGTGTAGTGTAACTCCCAGAGCTTACTCCATGTTAGAGCGACAGATATTTATTTCACCCAGAGAGTAGGAACTGGGACTGCCTTCATGTTGGTGAACTATTATAATTCGACACTTCTTCTAGTTGAGAGGAAGCAGGCTTTCCGTAGTTTGATTAAAAATTTTCGTAAGGTCCTCCTGGAAGACCGAAATATCCGTTGGCTTTTGTATTTCCCTCCAAATCTGCAGATCATCGACACATAATGGTGAATGTGAATTAAGGACCCCTGTTAGGTCATTGATTAAAGCAAGAAACAACAGTGGGCCCAGTATAGAACCTTGAGGCGCGCCACTCAGCACCGGGAACCAGTTATACAGAGGGGAGCCGACTCGAATAAGCTTTTGCATCTAGAACCCGCGGATCACTACTTCCAGTAGTCTTTAGAGAAAGAAAAAAGTGATGGTTAAAATGTGAAAATTCAATTCGTTCTGCACAGATCCCAGACACATCTCTCCCTTAAAAGAATATATTTGGCTAGCAATGTATTGATCGTAGGAAGGAGTTCAAAATCGATAATCCCTCATGCTTTATGGATAAAAACATGGACTTCTGGTGTGTGGAGCCAAATAGGATTGCTTTCCTTGTTGGCTTCGAGGCATCAGGCCACTGCTTACTAACAGTTGCATGCCAGACAATCTCATTGTTTCAACTGATATGTTTGTCCAAGTTGCTTTTAGGCGCTTCTGTTCAACGAACTGTAGAGTTTCTATGTTTTCTTCGATCTCGATCTCTACTAGCCCGTTAATTTTCCAATTTCAGTCCTTTGGAACGAGTATTGAAATGTACATTTTCTCATGCAAAATCAGCGAGTGGTCCATGTACTCCTTGAGTAAATAGTAACCATGCGTTGAGTCTCCCATGCGGTGCGTGTCTTCATTTGGTGTCGTGTGAATTTCGGGCGTGACAGGGGCACCTCTATTGGGGTACACAGGTTCAAGGTGATATTTGAAGCAGTACATCTGATTTCACCTGTTGTAATTTTCCCCTCCAACCAATAGCTGGTCATTCTCAGATTAGTAAACGAGTTGGGAAGCCTCTCGAGAGTGAAATTGCTATAGATCCCGTTTATTTTTACTTCTTCAGTAAGTTAGACCTCACTGTTGTGAGACTGGGAATCATGTCGCTGATCGAAAAATCCAGGGTGGTATGTGACCTACTGTGTACTACAAGTGGCAAATAGTAATTTTGAATGAGGCCATGCCACTATAACTTTTTTAAAGTGGGACTAAGGCAGCCACCGTTAAGAAGAACGTACGGATGAATTGCTCAGCCTGAACGGAATACTGAATGTTCCAATCTTTTCATATGCTCGCCTTAGGAGATTGGGCCACTGACCATTCCTGTCCACGACCTAGCGGCCTCAGATGAGTCTTGGATGTCTACATATGACCAGTGCTACAGGTTCGCTGCGCTCAGATGCCGAAACCATTGAGCTTCGCTAAAGATAAAGCGTGGTCAGACACTAGAAAGTTACGCAGCTCCTCCTCGTACCATTCATATACTATTTGTTAGCGGCCTTATTCTTTGCAAAAATCCTTTCTAATTCGGTTCATTCGAATTGGGATGTACCTATGAAATCGGAACACGTCCCGAAGTAGCTGACGATTTGCCTCCTCGACCATTTGAATCCTATCAAGTGGCTGCCGGCTCTACTGAAATTCAGCATGAACATTCTGGTAGTTTGAAACCAGTCCACACTCTTCATGATAACCGGCTTATTTCCGGTCCACAGATTCCAGCTCACTGTCAGATTCTGCGCCTTTATGAATTTTAAAGGCTACATTTAACCTTAAGTCAGTTCACTCGTTTTCCTCGTGCTGCCGCTAGTGAAAGCACCGATACCGGTTGCTCGCAATTTACGAAGAGGGCCCCACCTTCAGTGTGTTCTCTTGTCGCTTGGGGATCTGGTTGCCCGGTTAATACGTCTTCCCATTTCCCCTTTAGAAGTGTCGTATCTGAACACCTACCCCAATTGCCCATGATGACTAAAATCACCTTGGTGTGGTTCATGTTAGCGAAATTAGCATTTCTTATCATGATTTGACTTCTGGATCAGGCTACCCGACATCTGAATAACTGCATGGTGAACAATTATTCCCTGCGTTGAACCTGAGGCTAATAGAAGGAATACTGAAATAATCGCTTTGATTTCGACACCGGATCACTCCCCATACTAAGTTTTACTCAAAACAACTCATGGTTTATTGCCTACCCCGTCCGACAATCCCGGTTGCGTTTCGAAAACGTTACCGGCCGATGACGCCGACAGACGAAAAATTCCATACTTATTACTTAGGCAAGAAAATATAGTGACTGAAAACAACATTTCAGTCAATACCTCAGATCTACTAACTAACATATGCAATGGCGCAAGTACTTAGAACTGTGAGATTCTGGGCAATAATAAGGTGACAGAGGACCTATGCTGTGAAGTAGATTGTCCAGCAGTTCTGACCTATATGTTTGGCTAAAGTGGATGTCCCGGCTTGCAGTCTGAAACACTATGGAACGCTAGTGAACTAAATAGCCACCGAAGTCAGTGGACGAATGATGTTGTCCCTAATGTACCCAACATTTTCGCACCAAACCACCATCTTTCCCTAAAGAGGTTTTGACCGAAGGTCCACGAGTCTACCAGTGACCAGATAAATACCAGCTACTGGTCCCGAAAGACACGAACTGTTGGTTTGAATCACGTGGATAGACTTGCATACCGCTAAAGCCAGAGACTCTGGGCAGCCAGTACTACCAGATTTTAAATAAATGAATATTCAAAATATCTATCTATCTAAATTTACGGATGGCCAATGCTCAAACGAATGTAAACATTCAGCCCAGACTCTCTTTGTGCATTAAATTAAAGCCCATCGTCATGTCAAACCCACGTCTGGCCTCTGGTATGCGCGCCACAGTTAAACGCGCACCTTCATCTACTGCCAAAAATGCGCTTGAACCTAGTTACGGCGTAGGCATGAAAGCCTCTAAAATGTGACACAACAGTAGTCACAGAAGAGTGCCCAAGTTTTTCAAAGCTCCTACAATCCGTAAACTTAAACCGTCCTAATATAGACAAAAATCACTTGTTCTCATCCGGTAAAAGCGATGTTAGTCCATCTATCAGCTGAAAATCCGCTACATAGGTAGCTGGTGGCAACTTGCCTGGACATTGGGCTACCAGTGAAATCTACCACATGTTACATCAAATTCCTCCCTTTCAGTTTCTTTTAATCTCTCAGGTATATCTTCCTGACGTCTTATGTACTCTCGGGGATTTTTGGAATGCTCTGAATTAACTGTCTCTCAAAGTAATAACGAAAAGTGGAAACCATGTCATATGAGAGGGAAATGAATTTTTGAATGCACGAAAATACATCGCATTTCTATTCTTCGGACACATCTCAAATAGTACATTAATCCACTGACTGAATGAATGACTACCACCAAACACGAAACGCAATGCAGCACTAACCGGGAACTTTATGTGATAAATTTCGGTGCTGTCACCAGAAACATCACTCAGATGTCATAATCATTTTGTTTAAAAACATCGTTTTGAGGGCAAATCTCCTAATTTTCTGTGTGCTGAAAATTTCGTATACTGTGAAATATATTAGGTTGGCCCACATGGTAAACAGGATACTCGTCTGACTGAAAGCGACATCCAAATCCACTTAGTTGTCCCACCGAAACATCTGTCCTCAGAACTCCTTGCAAACGTCCATACATCAAATTACCTTACTTTCTACACACTATGACTCCCACTAATTCACTTTTTTACGCCAAAACTTCGTATTCAGAGGCCTCTGCATAAGCCCATAAGCATGGCGGCTGCTTCTTCCTTGTCCCTTAAATTTCCAATTAAACGTCTCGACTGATACGCTCCGCCGTCCGGACAGATAGTTCCACTGCTATGCTTTGTGTTTGTCGTGCATAAAAGTCAGACTACTATCTCGCCATAGTTTACTGCTGAAAAGACAGACAATTGTCGTGCAACAACTCTTAAACCTACACCTGATCCCTCTTTCTTTGGTTACTCGGTCCATACCATGTACCCGTCAACTCAAGTACGTTATAAATTGTTCTATACCCACGCTTCCCTTTCTTTCTCATGGGCAGATTCACAATGAAGCCGCTGCATACTCATTAACTTGACGGTTGACCTCAAGTTCATGGCTCCAGTAGGGCTTACTCC